GTGTTTGTCCAGTAGCTGTTTAGGTGGCTCTTTCACCCTGTTGGACATATCCTGAACCAGCAAGAACCTCCAGGTGTTCTGGAACCACCCTGTGAACTGTCCAGGAACAGGCCATTGCTCGACCCATCCAGCTGGAGCCCAAGCAAACAGACTCACCCTGTTGTTGTTGTAAGGGTGATAGACACCCTTACACACAACCTTTTCGACCACTATTTGGTCAGTTTGGGCCCCCTCACAGAGCCCCTGCTCCAGGTCTGCCCTTGAGACATTCCCTGGGAAGCCCCTGCCATGAAGTCGAATCATGGTGCTTGAGCCCAACAAATTGCTCATGGAAAAAATGCTTGAATGTAAACTGCAAATGCCTAGACTCTAGACTGAACCTTTTAAAGGTGCCTAGAAGTTTTTCCAAGTAAATCCACAAATCTGGTGGGTCTGTGTATCTGTGTGTCTCTGTCGAAAGTGACTTGTTAATGTGACTCTTTTCTCCAAAGTGACTCTCTTCTCTAAAGTGAATCATCTGAAGTGAATCCTCTAAATTGAAACCTGTAAAACCCATTTCCTCTCTAAAGTGAAATATCTTAAGTGAATCCTCTAAATTGAAGCGTCTAAGTGAATCTCTCTCTGCTCTAAAAAGTGGATCCTTCCAATTGAAACCTCTAAAGTGAATCCCTTCGCTAAAGTGAATTTTCTAAAGCTCTCAACTGAACATCCAAATTGGGTTCCAAATGACTCTCCAGAAACAATCTTGTTCTCAAGATTTGAGGCTTCAAGCTCTGAAGCACTTCTCTTTTTCCCTTTGGGAATGTGCTGTGCTTCAATCCACATCCTTCTGGTCCTCATCAAACTGTCTGGCAGCTTCTGCTGCAGCCTCACAGGCCTTCCTCCTTGCAGAGTTTGGGCTGAAGCCACCAACCCTGGCAGCCCTTTTGGCACTGTGGTACGCACTGTCTCTGATCCTCCTTCTCAAAGAACACTTGTGTCCTGTCTTCTGTTTGACCTGCTTCTTGGGCTCCTTCTTGTTCTGAACACTTTTGGCCTTTGGTGCAACCTTCTTTTTTGCTTTTGCTTTCTTGGCAGGTCTCTTGCCAACAGCCACCCTATCTTCCAAGGCCTCCTTCAAGAGGCCCTGCTCATGCACAGACAGGTCCAAACTGGACAGGTCCTGCAGACTGTCAGATTGGACCTTGCTGCTGGACCTGTGTTTCTTCTTCTGGGCCTCCTCAGGTGAACTGCCCAACATCCTCTCCAAGAACACTGAGTCAGGTTCTGACTCTGTCCTCAGGAGTTCCCTTTTCTGAGGGATGTGTTGTCTCACATCCTGGTCCAAAACCGTCTCCTTTGCACTCTTGGTAGGTGAACTGGTTTGCCTGTTCAGCAACCTTTGGAAAATACTGCGAGCCTTCTCTTGCTTGTGGTCATGCCCAGGAGCTTCTGGCACTGCATTGTGGACATAGGGGACCATGGCCAAAACTTCCTGCTTGTCAGCTAAGAAACTTGCTTGCTGCTCCACTGGCAAAGTGCCATCCAAGTCAAGCAAAGCAAGCGCATCGTCGATGGCTTGTTTTTCTGCACATGACGCCTTCCTCAACAGCCTGCTGTACTTATCTATGTCTTGCTTCAGGCTCCTGTACTGGCTTGCAAGAACCCTCACTCTGTCATCTAAGGAATCCATGTAGTCCTCATCATGGACCGAGGTCAAGTTCATTCTGCAAAACTCTGCCTGCACCTTCCAAAGTGAGTTTTTCATTTTTGCCCTGGGCAGAACACCATTCTTGCAACACTTGAAAAGACCCTGGTAGAGGTCTGAGACTGCACGACAGCCAAGCAATTCAGCAAGAGGTGCACTCTTCCAGTCAACTCTCTTGCAAGACTTGGAGGGCCCCAACACAGCCAACAAATCTTTTGTGGGCTGTGTCTTCAAGAAGTTGACAAAGACTGCTTGCAGCTCTCTGACCCCAACATTGGGATCAGCCACCAGTCTTTTCTGAGACATCTTGGGCCACAACACACTGGGCCAAACACATTGGAGGTGTGAAGGTCTTGTGCACATGTGTGAACTTGCCTTTTCCGAAGTGAATAGCATCATTGCTGATGAACTACAGTGGTTCATTTACTATGGTTCTTTTTGCATGTGAATCTGTCTTTGTTGAACCAAGTCTTGGCTGAACCTTTGAAGTGAATCTTTACTCTGATTCTTTTGTGGAATGAACCTGCCTTTGTTCTGAGTGAAAGACTAAGGTGAATCTTTTTTCTGAATGAAGAACCTCTGGCTCTGATTTTGTTTCAAAAGTGAATCTGTGTGCTCTCACCCACAGTCTAAGGTGAATCAAGGTGAATCCTGTATTCATACCTTTTTTGAGAAGTGAACCTAGCTGCTCTGAGTAAAAACACGAGGTGAATATTTAAGGTGAATATGTTATTCTGGTCAACTTGTTGAGGTGAATTTGTTTTTGTGTGTCAGGAAACTCATAAGTGAATCTTTTAAGGTGATACCTTATGTGAAGAGTGTCTTGCTTTTGGCAAATGCATTTTGAACAAAATCGAGTCCAAAATCATTTTAAGAAAACACAAACCTTTTAGGTTAATCAATTGAACAACCTTACATTTTTAGTTTATTTGACCTTTTAAACTATTAGTTAAAACCATTGTTCTGACTAATAGTTTAATCATATGTTTTAACTAATAGTTAAGAAACAGTATATAGACTAATAGTTAGAAATCTGCCTAACCGAAGCTATTGGGCAAGAGCACGACAACCGAGAAGCCGACCCTGAAGAACCAGACCCTCTACTCCGACGACTTCGTGGACAAGCATGGCACCCTGCATGGACCATGTGCGGCAGATCCTTGAGGCGAAGAAGCCATCTAAGTCATCCGGCAGCGATTCGGTTGAGGCCGTGCAGACAGCTCGAGCTAGGCCTTCAGATCTGGACTTCGAGCAGGTGGGATCCGTCTGGGCACTTCTTCGTGACCATTCAGCTGGACCCAATCCGGACTCCCTCAGGCGGGCCAACATGGTTCGTATGGTGGACCGGTCTGTGCTCTCATTGCGCAGGCCACCGACAGTGGAGCCGGGCAAGCACTACCTCACCATCGACACGGCATGTGAGAACACCGTCTGTGGCACATCCTTCCTTGAAGGCCCTGACAGCTTGCTGGAGCGCTTGACCCAAAACAATCCAAAGTCCGCCTGTCCATTCCGACGGGTATATCAGGGACCCCCGTCATCATCCGATCATCGTTGATCGAGGATGGAGATGCCACCAACAAGATTCCCTTCCTTGCTGGACAAGACTTTCTCCTGTTCATGCAGGCCGTGATTGACCTATAGGGGCCAACACCATGCGCCTGCCGCTCATTGACAAGGAAGTGCCGCTCCATGTGGACTACACGGGCCATCTGGTCATCGAGATCGACCAGTACCCCGATGGTGGTTGGCCGCCGGGATTGACAACCCGTGTGGACACCTATGCTGGTGCAATTTTCACCGTCTCAACTGCTGGCGGCAGTGTTTGGACCTCACGCCCAAAGTCGCCTTCATCGAAGAGACAAAAAGGAGCGCATCTACCGGAAGCTTTTGTTGGCATCACCCACAACTATCACTATGAGCCCAATGAGGATTCCTTGTTTGACAAGAACCAATCACATGCAAGGGGACCATGTGCGATTCCAGCCGACTGCTGGGAGTTTTTCACGACACGTGGTATCGTTGTTCGACACCATCGGACGCCTCTTCGCGGTTTCTTCGACCCCACGGACTTCGCTGGTGGGCCCGATCCTCAATCCCTCCGTCCTGAGAGATTGACCATGGTTGACGGTGGCCCCAACGTTTGGGACCTGTGGCCTTCGAAGACCTCATGTCCTGATCCACTTCTTTGTTGGTCCGGCCGCAGCGTGTTCTTTTTGGACGGGTCCGAAGACTTCGATCGTGTCGCAAGCACAGTTCCTCTTGAAGAGTCACCGTTTGGAGTACATGTAGCATTTCACCATGATGGGCAAACCTCCGTGGCACTCGTTGACCCCAAGAGTTTGAAGCCCATCAAGGACAAGAAGATTTTGCAGTTTTATTTGAACTCGTCACCACCCATGTTTGAGCAGCCATACCTTTTGAGCCGCATCTTTGTGATCCCGAGTGACCAGTTTGGTTCAAGGACTTCGCAGGGGCCGACCCCTTTGTCCGATGAGATCAACCCGCTCTCGCAAGCCGCGCCTCACGCAGGAATGTCGCCTGGAAGCCTGGGCACGATTCCTCTACAAGCTGGACCAGCTCTACCGCTTGGTCCGGAAGTGGCATGCCAGCAACAACATGGTGAGGGAGATGGAACATCGATCCCCGGCGATCCTCGGCTACATCCAGGCCATGATCCTGTCCGAGGGCGAGCTGACGGTGGCCGGCACAGTGCCGCCAGTGACCACGAAGGCACGTGGTCAGACCAGCCGAGCTCTGACGATCCCATACCCTCTGCACCCGGACCACTGTTGTCACGACCGGGAGGCAGCAAGGAGGATCGGCAACGCTCACGGCCGATTCCGCGAGTGCACACAGTGCGGTCTGGTGATGAAGGCACTACCGGACGACTACATCATCCCGATCACCAAGGAGGCCGTGCCCGTCTATATGCGATCACTCACGGAATCCGAGATCGCCCAGGAGGAAAAGTTCAGCCATTCAATCGAAGCACAGCGGCTTCCTCGGCCAGTTGGGCCGAATGCTACTCGCTTTCCTCGCCACCAGTTTGTGCACAGCCGAGCCGCCAGACTGCCGACAAGAGCAAGATGCCTTAAGCCAGCTACTTCATCCGGGAGACCTACCAGGACATCCATGAAGCATGGCTATCTCGGGCCGGAGGCGACCTCCCACTCGGAGTGGGAAGCGGTTGGCACGGAGGACATGGAGGAGGACCTGTAGAGGAGCCTCTATACCCCTTCGAAGAGGATGGCAGAAAAGGCTGAAACATAGCGCTCGTCGAGCCCTACAAACCTCCAAGACAGCTCGCGACATGGTGGCCCAGCGTGTTGGTGACTCTCGCTGGCCAAAGAAGAGATTTCGCCACGATCTCATCGAGATCTTCGGTGGGACATCGATGATCTCCATCCAGGCCGTTCAGGCCTGGGGACTCCGAGTTCTACAGCCGGTCGACATCCGGTACGGCATCAACCTAGCAGCTCGTCGTTGGCTCCTTCGTCAACTCGACCGTTGGAACCCTCGGTTGGCCGTGGTCGAATTTCCATGCACGGTTTGGTCCATACTCCAATCCAACTGCAACTATAAGGATGAACCTGAGGTCCTTGACCAGCTCCGCGAGGAGGACAGACCCTTCATCCAGTTGACCAAGTCCGTGTTTGACAGCCAACAACGTCGAGGTGGTCATTGCTTGGCCGAGAACCCTGCCTCAGCAGCCAGCTGGCGCGAACCTGAACTTCAAGGGCTCCGTAGCCATCTTTGGGAGACCACCAGCTGTATGTGTCAATTCGGCATGGTTGGCCGCAATGGATGGCCAATGCTCAAGCGAGTACGATGGTTGGCTACACATCCCATCTTCATCGAGTACCTCAACCGACAATGTGACGGTCGACATCAACATGAAGCTGTGGCTGGTAGCAACACCTCTCTCTCAGCACAGTATCCACCTGACCTGGCAGACACCATCATCCGCGCCTACCTGGACGTGGTCAAGGCCGAAGACTTTGGTGTCCACCATGAATGGGACGTGCTGGAGACCCGCCACGTGCACTACGTCGACGTGGTGAAGGATGAGAAGGAATGGAGGCCGCTCTTAGCACAGGCCGAGAAGATCTTAGCCCGTAGGGTCCAGGCCAACTGCTTCTTGGACATGACCTCCGATCTCTACCAGAAGATCATTCCTTTGGTGCCCTGGCAGATCGCGAACATTCAGATCTCGCACCTGCCGAAGGCCAAACGGGTACGACCCGGGCTGGAACAATGTCATCGCTGCTCAGTCCTTTGGCAGTCCGATGACATGGTGTTGATTGAAACGGAGCATCTTCCTTCAGCTCAAGCACCGAGAGAACGATTCGTGTCGCCAGTGAAGATTGGCATTTTTGTCTTGGGCTACGCTCCGGGAGAACCACAACAGCCAGCTCCAGCTAAACGTGGACCAGCAGTTCAAGAACTACCTGATGGAGAAGTGGTTCATGATGCTCTGGAAGAGCCTGTCGCTGAAGGTCTCGCTCACGAAGGCCTTGTTCGGCAGGACTATGCATCTGGAGAGTGTTGGTTCATTGGTCCGCCTCTACGACATGAACAACGTCGCTTGGCACCAGCTTTGGTTCGAATGCATCGCAACTTGGGCCACCAGAAATGAAGACTTCGTCAGAGCCCTGGCCCAACACGGCAAGATCGATCCTGAAGCGGTGAGCCTTGCAAGGCGGCTACGATGTGCTTCCTGTGAACGAGCACGTCGACCTCTACCTCCGAGACCGACCTCATTGAAGACCACTGGAGCCTTCAACGATAAGGTGTGCTTGGACTTCGTCTTCTTGCACGACAGCAACGGCGACAAGCACAACTACTTGCACATCCTCGACCCAGCAGGCGCCTACAATGTCTTTGTTTGGATTCCTTCAAGGCAACCAGGCATCGTTTTGGACACCTTCACGATGGCATGGGCAAGCTGGGCAGGCTTTCCGAAGGCGGTCTGGACAGACCGCGATGGTGGCTTCGAGGCTGAGTTCGCGGAGGGCCTGAAGCAAGCAGGCACTGAACAAGATGCCATTGCAGCTGAAGCTCACTGGCAAGCAGGTGAAGTGGAAAGCTACAACCGGGCTTTCAAGTACGCCGCGAACAAGCTGATCGATGAGAAGCAGTTCGTTGGCGAAGAGCAGATGAAGATGCTGGGTGCAATGGTTTCATCAGCCATGAACGACCGCATCAGGACTTGTGGCGCCTCACCCAACCAGTGGCTTTTTGGGCGCAACCCACGTGCACCTGATGACCTCCTCAGCCCCGACGGCAAGATCGAGGCCCTCAGAGGACTTGATGCTGATGAACAACTGCGGCTCCGCAACTACGTCAGAGCTCAAGCTGACATCGCTCTGGCGCAGTACCGAACTGATGAAGCACTTCGCAAAGCAGTGCTACGCCAAGGGCGTCCGACTCGTTTGACCTACGAGCCGGGAGAGCTTGTGGCCTTTTGGAGGCAAGTGAAGAAGAAGAAGGGCAAGATCCTACAGCCAGGATGGTTCAAAGGGACTATCGTTGGTCCTCACAAGGGCGAGGATCGCCCAGGCCAGTCCAACTACTGGGTCACCTCCGGAGGCAAGTTGATCCTAGTTTCACGAGAGCAACTTCGCCCCACCTACGGCACTGAGAGGTGGCGCATTCAAGATGCTGACCTACAAGGTCTTTTTGGATGAGTTCCCGGAGGAGTACTATGATGCAGTAGGTGAACCTCCTCCTGAAGAACAAGTCATGGCCGACGCTGAAGGCGAGGTCGTGGTCCCCATGTTTGGCATTGAGGAGTACACGCCTTCCGAACCACCTGAAGAAGTTCAACCAGCGCAGGATGCTAATGGATCTGCCGTTGGCGCTGATACCACACAGCCCTCACCGAAGATGCGAGAAGACAGAGCTCCAGGCACTCCGGTGCATGGCTTGATGCGCCCAACACCGGGCCTACCTTCTGACCTACCTGCGCTACCTCCGGAACTTCCTGGAGAACTTGACGAACCACAAGATCTTCCCCTTCCGGAACCGGTCTCCAAGAAAGCAAGACTCGAGGCCGATGATGAGCTACCTGACCACCTTGTACCTGAACAAGAACGACTGCCCATGAACGACACCGAGCTCTACACCGAGCCCAGAGGTGCTATGTGGGGCATCCGAGTTCAAGTCCAAGGACAACCAAGAAGGTCAGCAGCCACCAGAAAAGACCAGAAGGCCCTCGAGAAGGAGATTCCGTGGCACATGATCCCTGAGGATCAGCGACCTGGCTACCTGGCCGCATTGCGCAAGGAGTGGGATGTCTGGCTCAAGTACCAGGTCGTAGAGCACTTCAACCCTGAGCGGATACTTTCCGCACGTGTCTGCTACCGCAACAAGAATGCTGCGTACCCATGGCTGCCCATCAAAGAGAAGGCCAGAATCGTGCGCAGAGGAGATCAAGACCCTGACCTCCTATCGCTTCGGCGAGATGCACCAACTATGACACGCACCTCACTCATGTGCATCCTTCAGATTGGTGCCTCAATGCCGAGATGGTTTCTCTTCAATGCGGACATCACCGGCGCTTTTTTGCAGGGTGATCAGTCCATGGCATCCCGGAAGGAACCTTTGTTTCTGAAGCAGCCCCGTGAAGGACTACCTGGACTCGCTCCCGGGCAACTCCTACTGGTGGTCCGAGGCATCTTTGGGTTGGCGAACAGCCCGAGACTGTTTTGGAGGCATCTGAGGGACAGCCTGATCCGTATGGGCTTCATTCAGAGCACCTTGGACCGCGCAGTCTTCATGTACTACAAGCACGGCAAACTGGTTTTGGTTTTGGGTGCTCACGTGGACGACCTCATCGGCACAGGAGCACCTGGCAAGGAAGGTGCAGACAGCATACTCCATCAGCTCCGAGAGATCTTTGACTTCGGGGCATGGGCAGATTCTCGCCAGGAGAAGGTGCTTGAATACGGTGGCAAACAGATCACCGTGGAGAACGATGGCATCAAGCTGAATCAGCAGAAGTTTGTCCAAGCAGCAACGACTACCTCCATCCCGAAGTGGCGATTGGCAACACCCAACGCCGAGCTCTTTCCACAAGAGATGACTGAACTCAGGTCCCTCGGTGGTTGCTTGCATTGGCTCACAGGGCAATCACGCCCCGATCTCGCTGCAGGTACTTCGCTGTTCATGAGCGGGAAGCCCACCATCAGCAACTTGTCAGCGCTCAACAAGCTGGTGCGAGAGGCCAAGGCCTCGGAAGACTGGGGGCTCCGCTTCAAAGCCATCGACCTGGAGGCCGGAAAGATGGTCGTGTTCGCGGATAGCAGCTGGGCAATCGCTGCTGAACTGAAGCCCCAAGCGGGCTACATGGTCTTTGTCACCGGCCAGAACGTCGACACCTTGACGGGCGACACCGCTTGTTTGCTGGATTGGCGCAGCCACCGAATCAAGCGGCAGTGCAGGAGCACCTTGGCCTCGGAGACCATGGCGATGGATGCTGGCGTTGACTCGGCAATCTATTGCCGGGAGCTCATGGGTGAGATCCTCATCCAGGACTACCACGCCACTCAGAGCGGACGACTCCCGCCGAGCTTCCTCCCGGTGCTGGTGACCGCGGACTGCAGGTCCTTGTACGACCTCCTGACCAAAGATGGTCCACTAGCCTCCACTCAGGAGAAGAGGCTTGCCATTGATTTGGTTGGCCTGAAGGAAACGGCCGCTGAGATAGACCCTGAGCAAGAGCAGCTGAAGCAGATCTTCAAATGGGTTGCCACTGATCGGCAACTTGCCGACCACCTCACGAAGTTGAAGCCGGCCGGGCTCCTTCGAAGCTTGCTGGACAGCAACCACGTAGCTCTCCAAGCTGCGGTGGATGGCCGTGGATCAGATCCGCAGGTCTTCACCAATTTTACATAGTTGGGAGTGCAAAACTTGTGACACTTCCACCGCCCCGCGGCACCGGCTCGAAAGGGCCCTTGAGCTGTGATGAAACAGCGCGGCTGCCCGACGCCGCTTTCGTTGTTGGACTTGTTTGTCCTTTGTGGGTGGGAACCCCCCTTTTCCTTTAGGTCCAGGAACCTTGTGAACCAGGCCCCAACTCACCACTTCAAAGTGTCATCTTTGCAGAACAATGCAAAACTCGTTGGCAAGAGCTCCAGGATCTCTAACGCCTGCAAGAGACCCACACTCACCCACCAACCCCTACACTCGCTCGTCCTCCCTCACCTTCCCCAGCTGTCACCCATACACCACTTCACCAGCAAACACTCCTCCAGCACAGTCTCCTCAGCACTCGGAACCGGACTTCTCTTCTTCTTCTCCTCCTCCCCACAACCCTCCACATTCTGCGGCTTTGGCTTCTCCTACTGCAGCTGCGCGGCCAACCAATGGCAGTGAATAGTGGTAAGTTGTAGGGGGTTCTGACAAGGGTCAAGCACTCCAGCCCGTCGATCCGACCAGCGACCCCTCAGGTGAATGGGCCGCCCAAGCGCTCCGCCAAGAAGCGCAACAAGGGCAAGGCGTCCTTCCGTCGGGGCGCGCAGAAGGCCAACAAGACCCAGAAGGCCAAGAAGGGAGAGGGTGCTGACCGGGCCGCTGCATCTTCAGAGGATCGTGATGGCCTACCGACACCAGCGAAGGCAGGTTTTTACACAAAATTTGTCCACCGCTTTGAACAATTGAGTTCTGTGGGCCAAGCAAAAAACAAATCCAAAAGGGTGCGTGGTCTATTACCAGTTGTTTCCAAGCCTGTGAGGCCTATGGGAGCTATTCCCTTGAGGACATCCCTATCGGCGCCAGGCCTCAATCTGGTCGAAAACACCGAGGTACACACAGCTATACTGTGGACGCCAGGGTTCAGGATCCTAAAGGGAATCTTTGTGATATCACCGTGGATGTGCTTCTGAGAGCGAAGGCCTACTACATCAAAAAGGCTACGCCGGTTGGTCGGCTTGGCCAAATCAGTTGGAAGAAATTTGGTGGCCCACATCCGGCATGGTGCATAGCGCTGGAGCAAGCTGCTTGCGGCAATGCTGGCAAGAGCTGAAGCCATTCACCCTTTCTTATAGATGATCGCTGAAAGCGGCTGGATAGATCTTTCGGGGGGTGTTTCGATCAACCGGGGTGTCCAATTCTATCTTTGGCGGGTGGCGTTGCAATGGATTGCCCCCATAGTCGAGACCTACCAGTTGCGTGAAAACTTGGCTGCTGGCTCACCACCGAAATTTGATTCTTTGATTTCACCACCGATATATCTCCAGCCCCCCCAAATCCATGCGCAAACGCAGTCCTCTCAAATCTAATCGAAAACTGGTGGTGTGGTTGGGTCCCAACCTTGGCCAGGCGGTGACTGCGGTGCATTTGGACCGATACCAAGGCAAGACCGGCGGCGCCGTGCAAACCTACCAGTGATTGAGAGCAAGCTCGTATTGAAAGATCTGTTGCCCAAAACAAAACACTCTCGAAGCCATTTTGCTTGCTCGAAGTGAGTGGAAACGGTTCTAAAGGTATGGGGAAGGGTCATGCTCTTGCTGCTTTTCGGGGGATATCATGGGCGGTGCCTACGCTGTGGGGGTCAAGATTTGGTGGCCACCCAAAACAGGAATATGTTGACATAGAGTCAAATGAGAATATAATAGAGTATATATGTATATAATGCTTGAAGCAAATGTGAAACGAGCTTCATAAGGTTATTGGCTTGATCGTGGCCTTGCTCTTTGACTTGAAGGCTCTACCCTTCTCAAGCAGTTCAACTCTACATCATGTGGAGGCATTCGCTGGAGACAGGGCAGTGACCATTGGCGAACTGCAGGACACTAGAATTCTTAACAGAGGTTGAGAGGCTAACCTGTCTTGGTCAGCGCTTCACCCAACACGTGTTCATGGGTTCATAGGGTGTCCACGGTTTTGCCCCCAAGCTTTTAGGCCATTTGGAAAGTTCATTCTCGTGTACATGTGGAGGGGTTACAGTCGACCACTTTACCAATACCGCCCTGGAGGAAGGCCGCGCCAGTATCGCTTTGGATGTTCGACATCATGTGGGGATGGACATCTTGACCACAGAGGGGTTCTTGCAACATGTTTACCAAGTGTGCCGGCTAAGAGCCGGTGAATCTGGGTTTCTAGCAGCTCCAGTATGCACATCATTCGTCTTTATGAGACTTGCCTGCTGGATTGGGGGCTCCGTTTTGGGGGCTCCAAAGTCTAACTTATGTAAAAACGACCTTGACGATAGAAGCTTTTGAATTCAAGCGTGCCCCGACACCACTCCTCGCGTGCTGTGTATATAAGGAGTCGAGGCAGCACTGGCCGCTCAAGTTACAGTATGAGTCGGTGGTGGCAGGCAACCGCATTGCTTGCCGGACCCTAGTGCTTCTTTATATTTGCGCAGCGCTTCAAACATGGTGGCTTTTAGAACAGCCTAAGAACTCCTTGATGCAAGAGTTACCAGCCTTTCAGTTCTTCATGCGACAAGTCCGGACATACCGACACCATATTTGCATGGGGCACTATGGTGGACCCACACAGAAGCCAACGTGGCTGTACAGTGGACCCCTGGCTCAATTGGTTAGTTGACCTTTTCCCTCCTTTGTAGATTGAAAGAACCCATTCCCCTTTAGAGAAACTCAGAAACCTGTTCATGGTGGGGAGGCACCTGGCTTCTGGCAATTGAGGAAGGAAGGAGATTGAGGATTTGTACCTCCACAATATCGGGATGGAGCTGGAGAAAAAAACGAGTAAAGGGAGGCTCTGACTTGAAAAATAGTCAGAGTTACCCTTTGTTGTCACTCTTCTGAAATCAACTCTCCTTTTCCTGTTTTTTGTGTCCTTCACAGCCCACTCCCCATTCTGTGTGCTCGGAACCCGGACTCTCCAATACGATCCGTCCTGCAGGTTTGGAAAGGCGTTGAGCAAGCTTAGAACTCAGCGCCGAGAGGGAATCCAGAAGCAGGCCAAGAAGGCCATCAAGGCAAATCTGAAGAGGACTGATTCCAGCATGGACTACAAGTCTAATGCTCGTTGGATCAAATGGAACCAATTCTTGAATTCCTCATGTAACAAAGCCATGAGGAAATTTGGAGTGTGCACTGGCCCATTCCAGAATCTAATTTGGTGTTTGGTTTGAGTGTGCGATGAACAAGCTTCACACTCGCTACTTTGCAATTCAAGCGGTTGAACTTCAGGGGCCATGGCAAAAGAAACGGTATTGTGGCTATGGACTTCACCATACATGCCTGGCAATTGACAACCAGCACCTCTGCAACCATCCCTATACACGGCCCACAGCCCATTTGCCAGGCTTGTCCTGAAGCGGGTGAAGAAGGAGGCGCGTCTCACGCCTCATCGACCGGGAGCCGAGGGAAGGCTGCAGGGATCAGCGTCCAATCCAGGGGGCCATCCCCCAATCAAAATTAAAGGAAACTGGAGGTCCAAATCCAATTTTCAATTTCCAATTCCTTGGAGTCCAGGGCGGGAGCGCCCCAATTAACAATAAAGGAAAGTGGTGGGCCAAGATTTTGTTAAAAAAACAAAACAGACCATACTTCAGCCGAGATTTGGAGAGAAGTCAGCCGAGAGTGGGAGAGAACAGCCGAGAATGGGAGGTCCCTCTAATCTATTCAAATTTCATTGCCACTTGATGTTTCCCTTAGGCTTCCATAGGAAAAGGCAAACTTACGCGCGGCTTCTCTCCAAATCTGGGTTACAGTAGCAATCTCAAAGCTTCTCCTGATTTTCTCGCCTTTCCCAAGCTGGCATTCTCAGCAAACGACAGCGTTCAAGCATCCAGTTCACTTCAGCCATTTTGGTTTGCGCAGCAGCTGCAGCAAATGGCAAAAGCAGCTCCACCAGTACGCATGAGGGCTAAGGGGAAGCCTGCAGATGCTCCTACAAAGATGGTGAAGAAGTCTTTGAAGACCAAAGAGAAAAAGGCCAAAGCTCAAAAGATGTCAAAGAAGGACATCAAGGCACTGAGGAAAAGAAAGAAGGAAGAGAAGGCAAAGGCCAAAGAGAAGAAGGCACAGAAAGAAGACAAGACGCCTCAACCGAAGAAGGCAAAGAAAGAAAACCAGACGCCTGAAGCGAAGAAGGCAAAGAAAGAAGCCCAGACGGCAGAAGAACAGAAGGCAAAGAAAGAAGGATACAAGATACCAAAAGAGAAGAAGGCAAAGAAAGAAGAGCGCGCGCCACGAGAAGAAGGCAAAGAAAGAAGAGGATATGCCACCAGAGAAGAAGGCAAGGAAAGAAGAGAAGAAGGCATCAGAGAAGAAGGCAAAGGATGAGGAGGATATGCCGCCAGAGAAGATTGCAAAGAAAGAAGAGAAGAAGGCCTCAGAGAAGAAGGCAAAGGATGAGAAGCACAAGAAGGCAAGTAAAGAGGAGAAGGCGAAGAAACAAGACGACAAGAAGGCATCCAAAAAGGAAGAGAAGAAGAATAAGAAGAACCGGAAAGACAACGAAGGTGAACGTGATGGGAAGGAGAAGAACCAGAAGAAACAAGGCAATGATGGCAAGAGTCAAAGCTCCACCCCCAAGACTCCCGTGCCAGCGCCCTCTACACCTGTGAACAGGAATGCAGCTTTGGCAGCAGACTCGCATCTGGTGGCAACATATGGGGAAAAGCTTCTCAAATGTATTAGCTTCAATTTTTTACGTTTGTAAATTTCTCCAGTAACACCAGTGTTTTTTATGTGTATATGTCGAAATCGTGCGAAAACCAAGGAAAGCGAAAGAATTGATGTGCCGCCTCAAGGACAAGGACATGTTTGAATACGACCTCGACTTTCCCGGCGACGAAGAGGAGATTTGGTGGTACGTGGAGCAGGGGGGAGAGGTGTCAAAGGAGACAAAAGTTGAGGAGAACATGGGAGTCAAAGTCAAAGACAAAAACCCAAACCAGGAGATGCTCCTTGCTTTGACAGAGGAAGGACCTCTTGCATCGGGCGCCTGTCCCAGCATTGGGACTGTTGGGGAAAAGGGTCAGAAGGCATTGCACGAGGCCATCAACCAACAAAGCAGCAAACCGCCAAAGAAACCTAAGAAGGAAAAAGAAGAGAAGACAGGAAAGGAAGCAGCGCAAGAACAGAAAGGAGAGATCTTGAAGCAAGCAGCAGAAGCTCGAAAGCACGCTATTGCTTTGAAGCAATGCAACTACTCAGGAGAGCTTGTGGCAGGTCTTATGAGCTTCTCTTCAAAAATGGAAACAATTTTTGAGAAGTTGACAGCGTTGCTGAAAGAAGGAAACGAAGATGAGGAAAGGTACAACAAGATTCTCACCGCAGCTGGTCACCAAATGGAATGGTACAAGCAAGCGGAGGCTGGGAGGTTCAGCAAACAGGGGTGTACAGCAAAAATATTCTTTATTTAAATAGTTATAGCCCAATTGATTGCCAAATTTGCCTATACCCAACCAAGCATGCAGCAGTTCGAAAGCCATATTTCCCAACACAAAAAACGACAGTAGCTACAGTTCAGCAATTGGTTCACCCACACAGTACCCGCAACCTTGCCAGGCTGCAGCTAAAGGACTTCAAAATGGCATGGCCCCAAAGGCAAAGAAGAAGACCAAAAAGAAGAAGGGAGAACCTGCTGACTCCTAAAATGAGAAAGTGCGGCCATGTTTTGGTAGGGTAGGATCCGGGACCGCCTTTTTCAAAGCATCCAAACGACCTACATTGGGTTGGGGAGTGATGCGTGTTTGGCATAGAACCTGGAGCCACTAGCGACCTATTGTTCATAGATCATTGACCTTGAGTGGTCTTTCTGTGGGGCACCAAACCGTTCAGCCGTCCAAGAAAAAAGGCTTTGTGCGAGTTGCCGTATTCCAAACCGCTGGTTGAAACAAATCCACCCTTTTTCTTTTATATAGGTAGCGCAATTGTTCCAAGTTCCAAGAGAAGTTTGCGCTCCTACACGTACCCTAAATCACAAGCTTTCCCAAACAGCACTCATTCCTGCATGGCAGGCGTGTCGCCTGCAGAGTTCATGAAGTCTTCTTCAAGGCCCATATTTTGCATCTCTTTTTGCAGGATCATTAGTCAAATAGCCAACAGGTCAAGTGTAGGACTGTGATTCTTGGGAGGCTTCGCAAAGTTAGATACGAGTCTTTGCCTTTTAGTCAATCCGCTGAGTCGTACTTGAGACACTTGTCCAACACTGGTGTTCAACTTCAACTGACTGTGCTGCTCTTGTTGGGAAAGATTTTATTGAAGATTCCTGACGGCCTCCTATGTGAGGTATGATTGGAAATGGGCGAGCGTCGGTCTCTGCAGTGGCTGATCTCTCACGAGCAAATCTTGCTGATATGGGGGCAACATACCCAGAATCAAGAGAGGGATCTACACAAGTGGGTTTCCAATTTGTTCAATGTTGGGCTGCAAACGTTCGACTTGGACATGGGTCTTCAGGCCTGGGGCGTCTGCTCCACTCTGGCCTGAGGGCTTCCAAGTTGCTGGCTAATGGCTGGAAATTTGCTTATTTTACTTTTCGCGCAGATTGCAAAGCCCGCAAAGAGGCTCACAACTTTGATCGCTCCTATCAGCATGTTCAAATCTGTGAAATTTGTTGCGCTGAACGAGACAGCAAGCATGGAGATGGGTCTTTGAGTTTCAAAGACTTTTACCCTACTGCTGCACACCTGTTGACACAGTTCAGCCACAACGATTATTTGCGAGCAACGTCTTCTGTGACTCCTTGGGCGTCAATGCCCGGGTTCTCTGTGCTGTCTGTCTTGCATGACCCCATTCACTGCATTTACCTTCGAACATGCAAGGAACTTATTGCTTCAGCGCTAGGTTACTGGAACCGCAATAGCTACCTTGTTGGGTGCAATCTTCAGGACCGCCTTCGCCGTGTCAACGACAGCTGTAACATACTAACGAAGGCTGTCTGTCAGACAGCTCTCGTCTGTAGCGACAGCTGTCCACTGTACAGCCTTTGATCCTAACGGTAGACCATCAGATCCAGCTTGATCACCACCTTACGTCTCACCTACAACGGCCACACCATGCCTCCTCACCAAAAAGTATTGCTCAGACCGCACGGAAGTCGCCGTTTTATCGCAGATTTGAATACAATCAATTCTCATTGTCTCATACTCTCCACCAACAAGCGATTTTGTGATCCAAGTTCGTTGTTCTCGACATTTCATGGATGGTTTTGCGTCGGTGATCGTCTTTCTTCTTTCCACACCTTTCATGACCGCAGCCGTTTCAAGTCGCCTCACATTATTGACTCCAACCTGCCATCACTCCTCTAGCCATAAGCGCACCTCCGGCACCAGAGGAGAATATGGAATCTTCATTTTGGAGTTGGGTCTACACCGAAGAGTCCCAACCAGTCATGTGTGGGATCCTAACAGATCTCAACTTACATCGCTTCCAGCTTCACCAAACTCTCACAAACTTCAATTCGCTACAAGACACACCACTGTGGCATGACCCACTCCACAACAACCTACCAATCCCCATCGCACAGCTGCTGGCACGCTACCGCGCCCACATGAACATTGTCAACACCCAGCTACGCCGAGCTTTGGATACTTTGGATGCGCTCGGCCGCCATCCACCACGACCTGCTGTGAGCCAACCCAAGTCCTATCGTCCTCCAGCACATCTCCACTCAAACCTCCCCTTCTACTTCACTTCACACAAAGAGCAGCAAACCTCCCCACCACTTACTCCACTTCGTCTTCATGCAGACCAGCAAACCTCACCATCGCTGACTCCACTTCGTCTCAACCAGGACCAGCAGACCACCCCCCGACCGGCCATGTGCAGCACCGCGTCCCAAACCGACATCCACGCCATCGCACTCTGTCCATCTTTCGCACGCCCCCATCACCTCCGCCACCAACAAGCAACCCAATGCCGACAATTTCCAGCATGCGGACCTGATCCCAGGCCCAATTCTTCCGAAACTCCCGCCGCCACCTCTTCCAGAAGACTTCAAGTCACCCATTGGCGGAACACCCACTCGGGCCAGATCCAAAACTCCACCCAGATCACAAACTCCACCCCGAACTGGCTTCTCGAGCAAGGCAAGACAACCAGAGCCACGATACGGCTCACCTGTACCAAAATCGAATTCCGCCACTTTTCTGCCACCCCAACCCTCAGACACTACTCCTTCCTACCCAACCGAAATCTGCTCCGGCGGGCTTCCAGCCCAATCAGCCTATGGGATACTATCACTGCCAACAAGCACCAGCTACCCCCCACCAAACTTTTCCACAGCCCAATCCCACCACCAACGCCGCCATTCTCTACGATGCCACAGGCAACCCTTTGCCCCAGTCGCAACAACCATATGTACCTGAATGGGATCCATGGTGCGCTGATAATCACTGAGGCGGCGCAGCGGACGGCTACAAAAGCCGCATGAGAACAGTGGTTTTCCATCAGCCCTTTTCAAGGTTTTTTGATGTCCACCAATTTCCTGCCTTATGTCCACTCTCAGCCTCTCAAAGACCTCCACAGGCACTTTGTCCTTTACCATAACAGGATTACTGGCAATTTTGTTGGATACCAACCACTGTCCGCGAGCGACCAGCGATTGTCTCACCTCGCACAACGAAAAACTAACAGACACTAAGCTTTGTCGTTTCCAAGCATCTTTCACCTTTTCCTTTCATTGTACTTGTCACCAGTTTCGCCAAGTTGCATGCGTGTCACGGATCGATGCACCTTTTTGCAACCTTGTCTCACAAAAAAGCTTACTCCGCACTCATTCGCTGCCTAACAGCCCTCTCACCATGGATGCAAATTGGCAGCAGTTCTATTGGCAGCACTATCTTCAGCAACAAGCGCAAGCCGCTCATTCGAGCCCTCAGCAAACTCCGACAGGCACCCACGATCCCATGACACACACTGCTTTCAAGCACAGCCCCACCCACTCTGCTCCACCGGCGCCACCACCTACCGTTCCCTTTCCCAAACCACCCATCCAAGACTCATGGCGCACCACCGACACCCACTGACTGGGATGCAAACTCCCTCCACGGCCACCAGCTCTACCGCAACGTCCAACCCACCCAATGGTCACGCCGCGTCGGCATCGCGGGCCTACCCACCTTCGAAGTCTACCCCTGGCTCTTAGCCTACCATGGCACCGCAGACTACACAGCACGAACACTCAGCCATTGAAAATACAGCGGTTTGATTCCTACGCGTAGCATCGCGGAATCCGTATTTACAACACGCCTGCTTCAAGACATCCGCGGCAAACGGCTCGATCTCGATGCCATCGCGGAAGCTCTCCACACAGCACAAGGCACTGAGATCCCGAACAAGACCACTCAGGCCAGAGCCTACCACGCACCACTCATCACACTCATCACACAACAACTATACAATCACACGCGCCCGCAGCCGCCGAGGGATCCGCTCTTCGAGCATTGAAGGCCTGCGCACATGACCTCGCTAGGGCCAAGGAGAAACTGCAAGCTCACGGTACCCACCTCACTCCACGCAAGGATGCCGCTCGCCCATCCACCTCGTCTGCAGCACCAGCAGCCCCACCTGCGGCGCCCACCCATCAACCACCTGCGCTTGCTGATGTTCTCCAGCCACCACACCCGGCTCTTAAAGATGACGCGCCGGAAGCTTGGTCTGCTGCGGCCATTCAATCCTGGGTGTCCACCTTTGAGCCAGAGATTCAGGAGTCAGCAAAAGAGGTCATCCGCCTCCTTCAGACAAGCAAAGTTAACACAGAACAACTCAAAGAGGCGGCCACGCGCTACGGACTGCCTCTGTCCAAGCTCAACCGCATGACCATCAAGTCCCTCCAACACTTGGTCAGCATCGGCGCCGCTCTTGCATGTTGACTTTGCATCGTCGGCCAGCAGTCGCCCAACAGCACTAACATGCAGCACCTTTTCCAACTCCACCGCACCCTTTCCACCCTCATTCACCGGACACAATACATCGAACGTGCCGAAGCCCTCTTCTCCACAGCAACCAATCCTGGAAAATCCGTGACCCCACCAGCGCAGGAAGCCAGCGCCTTGCTTTGTCAGGCCTTGCCTCTCGCCTACACGCCATTTACACCGACACCTACCCACCAACATCAGCAGCTGCAGCGGCCGACGAGCTCGTGCGACTCTATGTCCTAAAGGGACACAACGCCGCAGAGTGCCAGCGTCTTCTGCGGAAAATCAAAGCCATCGTGGGAACCTGAACACATATGCGCCGAAAACGGCCATGTGTGTGTGTGTCAAGCCCTGTTTCTAAGGGTCCTCCCCTTTCGTTTTTGGTTACATGTTCTCAAGCAGGGGGCATGGCAGCTGTTTCCCTAGCCATGCCAACGAAGCTATGGGATTCAGCCGGAAGGGAATGTGGACGCACATTCCTGTACTTGCAACGTGAACTTTTGATCAAGCTGTCCAATTTGATCGGTTTGTTTCCATGGTCCTTGCATGTTTCCTCCCCTAAACCCACTTTTCCACTGCAGATGTGCAGCCGCGCTGATCGTTCTGCAGTCACGCAAAACAACTTGTTCAACCTTTCAAGTGAACTGACTCTCTCGCCTTGCTGCTCCCTCACCTTTTTCCACTTGGGAATGGATTAACTGAAAACCAATGTCAGAGTGTGTGTTTCCTTTTTTGTCACTTTCAAGACTTCGCTTCTCGACGACAGGCGATGGGGGAAACCAGATGCTTGCGAAGCGCGGAACTCAGCGCAAGCGATGCCGAAGTCGCAGCGCAGTAGCGCATGCAGCAACTGTTGGAACTGTGTCGGTTTGGATGTCGCACCCCTGCCCCCTTCAAAATTCTTCAAGGCTGCCAAGGACATCCAAGTCTGGTGATATGGATGTGTCAAGCTGGCACAATTTTGCAGACACTTGTTTGGTTGTCCAAATCCCGCTTCTCTTTTGCTCGCCAGGGAGCCCACGTCAGACTTCAGCATTGCTTCAATGGATGCTTGCCGCCAAAGTTGATTGGACTGATGTCGTGCAGGACGAACTGAGACTTGAAATTGTTTTGCCCAGGAAATTAACGATCGATGGTGTCGCAAAATGCACGTCAGCTACCAAGTTGTCTCGACATGTCTCGACCGAGTCGGGGGTAGTCTTAAAGGGGTCTTGCAACAAAGAACATTATATTGGTGACACTAGGTTATATATATATAATGTATCGATACGGGGTAGTAGAGTATGGTAGAGGTGCATTGGACCAAACGCTGCCTGTGTAGCATGGGTTGCCTAGATCGAGTTGGCCAACTGATTGGTGCTTGCCAAGGCCTGGCACCGAAGGAAGGACCGAACGCCTCGATTCACCTGGTACCTTGTAACCGACGATGAATTCGATCGATTTGGGTGTTCCAACACGGCATATGTTGGAGCAAAGGATAGAGGTTTTACTCGTCAAATGTTTGTAAAGCTAGGCAGAGACGCAGACGTAACAGTTTTATGGAGCAAATGGAGCAATGTGTCTAGGACTTGACTTCAAGCTCCAAAGGCAGGACCGGGCTGTGCGGAGACGATTTTGACGAGATGATTTTCAATTCAGCGCATAGCATGTCACCGTATCTCCAACGAAACGGAGTCACCACCTTTGACCGTCGACTCTACGGCGAAGGGTTTTGGTATTTTGTGAGACTTGTAGAGATGTGCCACATTTGTCTTGAGCAACCGTTGATTCGCAGGTGAGACAGATGCTCCTCATTGACTCAACCTGGTGCTTGCGAAGCAATGGAAAAGAGTTCAGAGAAATGCAAGCGGATGAGATCCCGCAACATGCAGCCTGTCTTTACAACCTTGCAACCTTTTTGGTGCAGCTCAAGCTCTGTGGGGAACGCGTGCCGTAAATACATCACCAGATGACCAGTTCTTCCTTTGCCTAGAAGCAACAGAAAGAAACGAACGTCTCCCGACCATCCCCTACCGCTGATTCAAAGAAACTTGAGATGAAATTCAAATCCTGAGGTGAAGGAGGGCTTGTCAGATCTTGCCAGTTCAAGGGTCAGTTCGGTCTTTGGAATGAATGCATTTTCACAAACAGTGTTTTAAGAGCTCTGGAGTGAAGAAGGGTTCAGCGGCTTTTGTGATGAAGAAATAGCATGTTCCAAACAAATCTAGGATGACAGGGACTTCAAGGTTCAAAGAGACTTGGCATGAAGGCAAGTTCAAAGGATTGTTTGTGTGAAGCTTGGTTTCAAGAAGTTGGGCATGAAACTGACTGGGATCTGAAAGTGAACAAAGAGACGAACAGGCGTTTCTTTGTAGTATCCGAAGGATACCTCTTTTAGCTTGGCACACTCAGTTCAAGTCACGATGCTCTGTGTGATAGTTTGTCTGTGGTGTGTGTTGTGTGTGTCAATTCCTGGTAAGGAATTCGAATTCTTTGTTCAAAAAAGTCTTGCGAATTAGCTGTACAGAGCAGGGGGCAGTGAGTCTCATTCCATCCACTGCCCAACGAAGACAGTTGTTTGAGACGGTGAAATTCGGAGAGGACGCTCTCTGAACGTACCTGCACAAATTGTTGAACATGTCATAAAGGGCTAACGCGTTTGTTCAAACATTCGGTTGAGCTGACCTTTCACTTTTACGGTTCTGCAAGTCAAGCGCTAAGTATTCAGTAACTAGCTCTCGGGGATGTCGCAACTGATAGAGCTCTTGCGGGCATTGATCTAAGTGTGTCTCGCAACAGGGTCCCACAGAATTCTGTTGTGTGATCCCTGTGGAGCGGTGCGTTGAGCATAGACCCTTATAGTCAGAGATCACTCGTCCTGCGTGATCGTCCATCTCCTGAACAGCCGCTTGCTCGAGATTGCTGAACATATGCCGCAGGGCCCACTGACTTCACCACAGAACGACATGCTTGATGCGTCTAAGTATTCAAAGGAGCATGAATGTCACGCCGCTAAGTAATCATAGGCAGTTTCACAACTAATTCTAAAGAGCATTGATTGCTCTCCTTGCATGACTTGCATTCAGTGATTTGCTCCCGCACTATCCGTGGCATGCTTCTACTGTACCACCGACGACGGCCCCGATGATGCCTGCCTTCTATGGTCCAGCTCCAGTGGCACGACCACATCCACGTCCGCACTATCCCACGACCCTGCCATATCCATATGCACCTCCATCGCCGATGATTGTCTATACTCCATCACCAAGTATGCCCATTTCAGCGCAACCTATGCTCCAGCTTCACTCAGCACCAACTGCATCGACTCCACCAGGGGGTCATCCAACTAATCCCACATCCCACATAACTCCGGGTGCTCCTCTGCCAGCGCCCCAGGATTTTACCATCGCCACCTCAGTTACCACCGTCGTGGCGTGAGAAAATCCGAGCATGATATCTGATATCAAACGCTACATCACTGTGTTGCCACGCGAAAACAAACTCGGACAAGGGAATGGAGACATGGAAAGCGGACACAGGGTTTGCGAGCGCGGCCAGACAACAGAAAGAGAACAAAGGAGAACAAGAAGAGGACAACGCCCGGACACATGGTTCAGGGGCGCGGCCAGAGACTGTGTCCAGTGTCTTTTTTCTTAAGACAGGACCCCAACAGTAAATTGTTTTGTTGAAAAACCTTGTGATTTGTTGGTTTTCGGCAAGTTGCTTTTATCGACCAAAAGCCGGCTTCCACTGCTTGAAACTTGGGCCCTTAATAAGTTTCTTTGTTAGTGAAGCAATCTTTGATTAAGCGTGTATTTATACAAGAACGCTGGAAACTGAAAATGTTTTCTCTTGTAAGGCCTTGTAAATTTAGGTCAAGTTGGCGGCAGATTTTGCTACCAGAGCTTCCGAACTGCACCTTCGGCAGCATCAACATAGCAAAAAACACACCAAAACCTTTGAAGTTATTAGGAGTTCGCAACAAATCTGGCTATGGAATAACATATTCCAAGTTTTTGGATGGGATTCGGTAACATTTCGGCAAACCAAAACATTAGGGCAAAAAATGTTTGTAGAAAGACGATCAAGCCTAGTTAAGCTCTGATCTATTGATACTAACGCCGGCCTACTAAGCAGCATGACCAGCATCACGCTTGCAACTTGAAAGAAAAGACTCTCCAATGCCACAATTGGTTCAAGTGTGCTCGCGCGTTTCTTTTCTAAATGGCGATGGTCAAAATTCACGCAAGCAACATACACGATGCAAAGTCTATCGGAGACCCAAAAGATGATGCAACATCTGCTGGGCTATTATTGGACTAACTTAAAGAAGTAGTTATCACATTTTGACATTGCTTCAGTTTTGCTCACACGTTTCGTTACCAAAGCGGGACAGAAAGCGACTGCAGCGCGCCGAGTGAAGCGCAGTACTCGTTTCATTCGCGTGGATCAAGTGAAAGTGACAAGAATTCGCCTGGCTCGGAGAGCCATGATGCTGAAAGTGCCATCATGGAGTGCCACACCGCGAGGAAGGGCCAGAAGAGATGAGCTCCAAGTGATTGTGTTCTGAAGGACCAACGCCTTGGCCCAAACGAGCTGCAACTATGCCTGATTGAAATCAAGAGCGCGTGACAAAGTATGCCGTTGGAAAAGACTCAACAGACTGCCGTAGAGGAATTGAAGGAGGCCGAGGGAACCACAACTGGACAGCCAGATGAGACTGTCTACATCGCTGGTAGCTGGTTTGGAGACGCCGATGCTTGGCATAGTGAGTGTATACTGTATACGCCACATTTGCAACACCACTTTGTAAAGTCTAAACGGGGTGCGCCTGCCCAGGCGGGGTGGCTAAGAAATCCAGGGCCGGTGATCGGGAAGAAGGTCCCGAGAAGGTACATCAATCCTTGCGTTTTTTCACAAAGTTACAAGAGGGGGAGGGGTCACCAAACAAGCCAAAAACCTAACCGAAACATGTACGGTAGCATTGTATCCGGATATTGGTCCAGGCGGGGTGGCTAAGAAATTAAGGGCCTAAACTTTCAACCTGAACCTTCAAGGTCACGAGAAGGTACCGGAAGGTCCCGTGATCGGAGAGAAGGTCCTTTTGAAACTTTGTAAGGCCTGGGGTTCCCCCTTCTTGTAACTTGTAACTTTGTAAGGCAAGCCAAAAACCTAGCTAAAACTCGCCACGCCCGGACCAAACAAGCCCAACACCCAATTGTTCCAAACGGCCGCAAGTGGTATCTTCTGGGGACCTTCTCTCCCATCACGGGACCTTCCGGTACCCCAGACCTTTGTAGCTAGTAACTACTGAAAAACAAGTGTAGCATTGTATCCGAGGTCCCAACAAGGTACCTGAAGGTCCCGTGATCGGAGAGAAGGTCCCCAAAAGATCCCGCAATCCTTGCGTTTTTTCAGGGAAGGAAGGGCCTTGTAAGGCCTAAGCAGGGGGGCGTGGGCCCTTCTTTACTGAAAAAACTTAACCAAAGAAAAGACAGAAGTGGAAAGCCTTTTTGAAGCTTCACAGGTGCCACGCTAGTAGTAGCAGGTGCCAGGCTAGTAGTAACAGGTGCCACGCTAGTAGTAACAAGGACGCTAGTAGTAACAGGTGCCACTCTAGTAGTAACAGGTGCCTTACTACTAGTAACAGGTGCCTTATTAGTAGTAACAAGGACGCTAGTAGTAACAGGTGCCACGCTAGTAGTAACAGGTGCCACGCTAGTAGTAACAGGTGCCTTACTACTAGTAAAAGCTGCCTTACTAGTAGTAACAAGGAGTAGTAACAGGTGCCACGCTAGTAGTAACAGGTGCCACGCTAGTAGTAACAGGTGCCATGCTAGTAGTCACGGGTGCCATGCTAGTTGTCACAAGGACGCTAGTAGTAACAGGTGCCACGCTAGTAGTAATGGGTGCCTTACTACTAGTAACAGGTGCCTTACTAGTAGTAGCAAGGACGCTAGTAGTAACAGGTG